TCATTCTATTTGTTTTTCCAAACTCTTCAGATTTTTGCACCTTATTGTATCTGGCACTATTGCGCCTACACCATGCACTGCCAGAAGTGTCCTCCTGTTTATCCAATATCTATTCTCTTTCAAATCTCTCTTTAGAATAAACTCCTTGCAGTTGTTCTGCAACCCACGCTTGTTAGGCAGAGCAGAGTCCTGGTCTATCAGATGGGTCAGTAGCCAATACAATTTTGTGATACAGATAGTACATTGCCAGTGCCCTGCTGACAGTGGGTCATTTGCTGAGACCAGAGCTACTTTTTTACATTTTATATCTTTCCATAGCACTCTTCTTACACTGAGCTACTAAGAACTGACTTACTAGTACAGAAAGATATTGTCTAGCTCACAGTTTCACTCCACTTATTTTCATAAATCTTCTTAAAAACATAGAACAGAAATGAACACCCTCGTTCTACTTATCTATGCCTTGATAATTAAGTTTGCTTTCTGCATTAGTCTCTTTGAATGAAAGGACAGAAAAAGCAGGAACTGCAGCAGTTTGTAACACTGTAGGCAGCGTCAATTTAATATATACTAAGTAGCTGATGCTGAAGATTTTTGGAAGGTTCATCAAAGGATGATCCAATCCTGATACCTGCACAAAGGCATTTGAGACTCAGCCCAGTTGTCCCACATATAGGTGTCCAGTGCTGCTTGAGGTGTCTCAGGTGAAGTGAAAAATCCCATAGCAGGTGACACAGGACCTATGGAAGGCTTGAGCCCCCTAGAGCAGCAGCTGGGAAATATCAAAGGTCTCTAGATACATCAAATGGGAAACTCAATTGTCTTCAGTGTCTGTAAAGAAGCACAGGTAATACTAGTTTCCTCTAGTTGTAAAGTGCAGAGATAACCTTATTTCTTAATTGATGTGATCTGTGTACGATGACAGGCTGTTTTGCTCCCTCCTAATTGTTTTAGCATTTGATTGCAATACATGTGCTCTTCTTTCAGTAGCAGATCTAAGATTGCTCTAAACAAGTTAATTACATTTCACAACACCCTTGCGCATTAGGGAAGTATTAATATTCTTGTTTTGCTGTCAAGGAAAAAGGGAGGAAAAGAAAGGGTAAGTGGCTTACTGAAGGTTAAACAGGAAGTCAGTGGTGAAATCTGAGGAGGAACTCCAGACTCTCAACCACAGCTTGAATTCCCCACAGACCACTAACTTCCATGCTAAATGTAAGTATGCTAATAAATGCATGATTTGGGGGTTCCAAACTGCAGAAAGCCATCCTACACAAACAATGTCTTTGTAAAAGGATGCGGGAACCTGTATCAAAACTTCAGAGTTCCAAAAGGTCAGTGTAGAGATAAACATCTAGCCAGAAATTCAAAAGGCTTTGACAATCCATATCACTTCAATGAGAGCAAAAAAAAAATGCAGGCACAAAGGATGAGTCAAGACTGAACTCCATTTTCTGCCTACTAAGAGCATCACCAAGATAGACACCTTTTCCGTGGAAAAGACATTTCACTACCATCCTACAAGACAGTCATGCTTGGGGATCATTTCTGAGCATATTGGAAACAGTCTCATCTACCCTTCTTTTCTACAAAGAAACGGCAATTTTTAGCAGATAATTCATAGGGGGTGGGAAAACATATTGCTGTAAAATATAGATGTCTCAGGATCAGGGACCCACTGTGTTTTAGGTACTGTATAAAAATGTAAGTGCAAAGAGATTATAAACCAATTTAAGCACGGACAACAGGTGGGTGTATCAAACAGCAGGAGGAATGCAGGAAAGAGGAGAAATGAGAACAACAGTTACAAGAATTAATGTCTTCATATGTTGCTATAAACCCAATCTTATATTCTGAAAAGATGGGAAGTTGTATATAAATTGTATGGGTTTTAATAAATATTTATGAGATTCTAGGACATATTTAACATTGGGTTGCAAGGGACATGTCCCAGTGACTTTTTGGTTGGAGTTTGATCTATTTGTTAATGGGATTATATAGGTTTTTTGCCTGGGATAGTAGGGGACTTCACTGGCGGAATCCGCCACCTAAATACTTCCAGGTTTATGAAATATTTGGTTTCTCTAGAAAACACAGTCATCATTTATAGGGAACAGAGAGATATACTCTATACCCAAGACAAGTGAAGATACTACACAACAGGATAAAAGCACAGTTCACTCTCCATGCCACGTTCGTTCCAGTTTAATGGTTGAGAGATCAGCCTCCCATTAGCTGTCTGTCAGACACCATCATTCAAGTCAATTCTACTCTTTTAAACCTGTTCTCTACAGAAAGTCTTTCTATGGTATATTGATCTTTGCTGATGTGAACTGAAAATACCAGTTTTACGCCAGGTGAAAGTTACCAGAAGATTCTAATCTATTTATCTATGTAGATATTTATAGTTCAGTCAGCATTATGGACTTTGAGCATTAATTCATTTCAATTATTATTATTCTGACCTGGGTTCAAACCAGCAACATCAGTCCCAAGACAGCTGTATCTCCACAACAAAAGCCCTGGGCTTAAGAAATGTGTATAGTTTATAGAAAATATTGCCTGCAATAATCAGATCTAAACAATTTTTGAGATACCATAGCTCTCACTTACATGATTGGACTGCTAGCTTGCTTGCCAGGAACATCAGTTGATATATTTCAAGTACTGTTAGCACAAGTTAGCACAATTCCTACTAGACAAAACTGTGGAAACTCCACGTACTCTGTCTGACGACCAGAACAGGGCACAGTCATACAATACGCACTGAAATGAACCTGGTATTTGAAAGTGAACATTAACTGGACATGAGCTCTCATTTTAATACTTAGGACTCTTTGTATCCTTGCACCACCAGCTTTTTACATGTTGATCTTTGTATTTGAGAAAAGCTACTTCAGTTCTTAATTCCAAGGATATCACATAGGATGCAAAACATAACATCATTCTTCACATGTACAAGCAGAGAACAGATGACATATGTGACTGCAAATGAAATTCATTTTAGGACTTTAAGTGATTTTGTGTAGATCTTTGCTAACATTTATTTCTACATAAATATATTTTCATTTCAGAAAGAACGGAACTCTGATCTACCTTGTCTTCTACCCACATCAATAATTCTTCAGTGGGACTATGTGAGTACAATGTCATTGCATTGTTCCTCTATTGGTCAGAGAACTGGACCTTAGACAACTTTTCCTTATGGATTTGCCTTTTTCCATTCCATCAATTTTTATTTATTTCCTGAGTCCCTTGGAGAATTAGAAATTAACATTTTTTTACTTCCTTCCTGGCTATACATTAGCATCCTTGCTGCCTGGCTAGCAAAGTCAATACACTGAGGGGAAATAACTGCTAAGATAGTGCAGTCCTTAGCAGGGATTCAGCATAGCAGAGAGGAAACCTGCTGGGTTTGAGGTCTTTTACCTGTTAGGGTACTCTACAGTTTTGGACACATTAGTAAATTGTGACCAACCACCTGTTGGATCCATATGCTTTAAAGCTGATTGCCAAGCAAAGGAGCTGCACACAGAATGCCACCAGTACAGCCTCCTGTGTTCCTTGTCAGGGGAAACGAGGAAAGGGCTTTTTGCATTAAAAAGCATTTAGCGATGTATAAATTTAATTAAAAAGAAGCAACAGCAAACACGCACTCAAAAAAGCACCTGGGAATAGCAAGTTTTCACCACGTGGGATTTTAACTCTAGGATAAGGAATACACTGTTATTAAAATAATCAAATCTCTGTTAGCACTACTATCCATGTGTTGGTTGTGAAGCTGAGGGCGGAGGAGGCTGATGTGTCGATTTCAGCCTTCACCTACTTAAAGATGTAGTAAGGCTTAAACTAAGGCTTAATTGTGTATACTATTCAAACAGCACATCAGATCTGCTCAGCAGAAAGATGTCTGTTCTGCCATATTCCTTCTATACCAAGAGAAACTGTTTCTAACGTTTCATTTTGTAAATGTGAGGGCATGGAGGATGACAGACAAATTGACCACTAAAACCAAACCTGCAGAATAAAGATGGATAATCAAAGCCCATTCTATCACTTCGCACTTCCTGCAAGCACTGCTGTACAGCGACTGGCTGCCAGCAGTTTTGCTGCAAACCTCAGCATATGGCTTCAAGTTGCTCTGCTCCTGTACCGATGCACAGAAATATGACACATCAGTATACAAATGAGCAGCAGGGGTTTTTTTCAGTCCCTTCTTCTGTAGGTTGCATACTAACCTTCTCCTCATGTCAGGAAAGGAAAGCATTTCATCATGGTTTATTTTAAAACACCACTTGGATCATTTTATTGAAAACCACTGCACTGGCGTAAATCTCCTTCCCCCACCACACAAACACACTCCCCAAGACAGACTCCAAACCTGGATGTAGAGTTAATCAAACTATCCACTTGAGCTGATCAATTGTTAACAGGACAGAGTAAAGAGTCTAGAGGTCCCTTTGGGCTCCATTATTTAATGTCTTTTTATACCATCCACACTATGGGTTATAATGCAGCAGCATTTTGCTCCAGTTGCTTGCCAAGAAACATTTGCTATGGAGGAGCCCTGAGCAAGCAGCCACATCTGTGTCCACTCCTGTACCACCCATTTAGCAGAGACAATGATCACTAGAAACAACAAAGGAGCCACAGATAAAACAAACAATGCTGTGAGCCAGAGATCACTGCCATCCCAGGCAAGTTTGCCATGAAAATACTCAAGAAAAAGGGAGGAGGGAAGAGATATCAAATATAGAACTATAAAACTTACACCTAGAAGAGGCTTCACCCACGCACCCACCCAACCCTACATTTGAGGAGCATTTTCTAACACGCTGCTAGGATAGAGCAAGAAAGCCTCAGCAGTGCACATGGGAAGCAGACAAGCATCCAATGTCTCCTCCCATTTGGAGTCAAATAGTCTCCTACGAGTCACTAAACACAAGAAATAATAATAATTGTTATTATTATAGTAATGATAGCAATAGAGAATCACCAACCTTGAGGATCCCAGTTCACCTGTTTTCTTGGAGTCTCGATTGGAAATTTCATCGCTTCCTTTTTGCACAGGGAGGAAAAAGAATTAAATAAATTCCCAACCTTCCTGTCTCAATGCTGCAGTCAAACAAATTAATTTCAAATTATAGGGAGTCTGCGCTGTTTGACTGAGAGGAACTGGTGGTTGCCAAGGAAAGAAATACACAAATAAATCAAAGAAGGTGGGGAGGGGCGGGGAGGGGAGGGGAGTGGAGGGGTTTGTACGGACGAGGTGAGGAGGGGTGCAGGCACCCCAGCAGAGAGAGGGGAAGGAGGGATGGAGTGAGGGCCAGAGAGGGTCTGGGGAGAGCGGGAACGAAGAAGGCTGCGACGGGCAGCGGGTCCGGGGTGCTGCTGGCTCCTGGGGAGGCTCCCGCAGCTGGCTCGCCCAGCCCACCCGCAGGTGTCAGGGTGGCGGGGTCCCCCCTGCAGCCCGGCCCCCCCGCCGGCCCCACCTGGGGGGCACCCGGGCTGGCCAGCCCGCGGCTTGCAAGGATGGGGGAAGGCAGCCGCCCCCCCCCCCCACACACACACACCCTCAGGGACACCTCCCACATGCGCACACACTCTCTAGCCTCCACCACCCAACCCCACCCACACCCCCCAAAAAAATGAGCCCACCTCAGTTCAGCCCCGGGCACTAGAGGGGTAACAAAAGTCAGCCGTGGGGGGTGAGCCGCAGGGGCATGGCTGGGGCGAGCCTGGGGACCACCCCGGCTGAATGCAGCAGCAGCCTGGCTCGCCGAGGAGAGCCGGAGCAGGAAAAGCAGAAGGAGGCGGAGGAGGAGGAGGAGGAGGAGGGAGCCACCCTATAGCTTTGGAGGGAATTCACGGAGCCCCTCTCTGCACTGGCTTAAAAAGGGGGTGGGGAGATGCTGCGAGTCCCTTTGTAAGAGGCGGTGGCGGGGTGCCCTAGGGAGGGGGCAGGCTCCGGCTGGTACTTACTGGGTATCCTTCCCCGGAGGAGGATGCAGGCTTGTTTGGCGGAGTTTGCAGCCGGAGACACGCTCGGCTGAGCTACGAGCAGCAGTAGCGGCGGCGGCAGCACATGGCAGGAGTACGGCAGCATCCAGAGCCTCCGCGGCGCAGGGGGAGGGGAAGGACAGCGGATCGTCCGAGCCCCCGCAGGCTCTGGGGGGACCAGGACCCCAAAAGGCAGGGGACTCCTGCTCCCCTTTCTGTCCCCGCTGCTCTCCTAAATGTGGGCAGAGAGAGACACGAGGCGTCAAGGCAAAGGCTGGCACGGCAGAGCTGAGAGATGGGGCCAGGCTGCGGGGAGGGGGAGGAGGGCTGGGAGGAAGGCTGCAGGCCTCTCGGAGCGCCCCCCCCCCCCCCCCCCCCCCCCCCGAGCTCTCGGGGGGCTTCGGGCAAATGGAGGACACTTGGCTTTACCCTCTGCAATTACCAGACACTCTCTGCTTTCCAAAACTGCATTCTCCATCCTTTCCCTCCTGCTCCAGGCTTTCTCTCAAACCCCAAATAGGCCAGAAAGGTCTCCAGTTCCAGTTACCATGTGCCCCAGCTCCCCTCCCTTAGCCAGGGAAACAAAACCCCAGCCCCTCTGGGGGCCTGAAGGAGGTTAACCCTGTCCTGCCTCCTCTCCTCCACAGTGGAAATCAACTCCTTGTGTGAAAGGGATCCTTCACTGGGGATGGTTTAGGGGAGAGATCCACAAATTCATGAGGGTCATGGATCAGAGACCCGTATCAGAATCAGTCCTGCGGTCCGTAGCCAGGATCTTCTGAATCTTTAGGAAATGTGGTTGTGATCTAAACCTGCTGCCTAAGACGATCTGTCCCCTGGTTTTTGCCCTGTATTTCTTTTTGCTCAACTGCCCTCTCTGTCTTGCTTTCCTATCTGTTGCTCAGATGCTAGCTATCCTTGTAAGATGAAAGGGAGAAATCTGCCCTGGTGAAAAAAACAGTCTAAAATGTGTGGCTCTTTTCAGGAAACTTACTGTGGAGGTTGGCACACTCCAATATCCACATTCAGAACATAAATAAATACACACATCCATGCTTGTTCCCAGTCTTTGTTCAACCCTAAACAGAAAAGGGGAATCAGTATTTCTGAATCCGCACCTACATTTGGTGGTGGTGTGCAAGTTCCCATAAAGCAGTATGTAGTTTGAAGAAACTAGATGGAAGTAATGCAGCAAGTTTTCCTGGGGGGAGGTGCCGGGTGTTTCTCCTTTCCCTAATCCAAGCACCCCTGTGGCTCTTGTTTTGTGCTGTATAGGAGGAGGCGGGAGAGGCTGCTCTAAGGGAGAACATGGTGAGAATGATAATGAGCTTGCTCAGTCAGACTTGAATTTGAGATGATTGCAATGATGACATCAGGAGCACAAGGTATTTCCTTCACACGGAAACCACGATGCATTCTGAAAAGGCTTTGGGATTCCTGTTGATGTTACTTCTGCAAACTGAATGGAAACAAAAGTGAGAGTAGGCTCTGTTAATTGTGCTGTGTGATCGCTTGAATCATCGCTGGGAAATCTTTTAATTATTCCAATAACCAAAAAGGCTTCAAAGAAGGCTTCTGAACCCCCAACAATATCACTTATCAAATATTTATCAATAAAAGATGATTTACATATTTATACACACATATATATAACATATACATGCATGTATGTAACTTTTCCTCAGCATTCAAAACAGTTTCCAGTTTACTGTTATCTTCCTTGTACATTACTGGGAAAAACTAACGTATAAACATATATTACTCAGTTGTGTCACCCTAATCCAGGCACTGCTTTAACTTTGTGCCGTAACTATCAGCAGTTAACAGATGAGGTGGGTACTGTGCCACAGACATCTGTCCACTGAGGACTCACCTAGATCACCAAACTCAAACAGCGCACTGAAAGGCCAACAGCATTAAATGCCTGCTAACATAAGCAGGAAGTCTATAGTCTAGAGGTGAAATCTTCAGGTAGTTCATTAGCAGAAACACATCCTGATTGTTACTGTCAAAAAAAAGAGAAATTTTCATGCGGTCATTTGAATCCTTTATTGTTAAACTGACCTTAGAGATACATCTCACATTTGTTTGACTTACAGTAACACTGACTAGATAATAATGACACAATATCATATTCCTGTTTCTTGTATACTCTTAATGTTCCCATATTCCCAAAAAGTGTCTGTAAGCTTTACATAAATGTTTGCTGTAGCTATATGGTTTAAAAACCTTGTGGCAAATCAGTTGTGATCTGTCAGGTACATACATGCATGACATCATGTAATTATTTTGCAATTTTTTACTGTGTTATGATCACGGAAATCTTGCTCGATTATTTTGATGCCTCAGACCTGCAGTTGTATCTAGTGGGCCAATTTATTCCCAAAGTAACTCATTTAAAATCAATGGGGTTACTCCAGAGATGGATTTGGCACAATGAGCACGTCTTTCACTGACAGCACAGCTGTTGCATATAAACATAACTATTATCTTATGCAAATAAAAGGCCTTTCACCCCTCAGTGATGTTGAATTCTCCTGATAGTGAGAACTGGTGCCTTGAAGCTATAGTGTTTCAAGCTGTTAGTCTGTCAACTTTTATAAGCTAAGTGGATTCAGTAATGTTTAATATTTACATGGAAGACCACTAAGAAAAAAAAAAAAAAGAAAAAAAAAAAAAAAAAAAGCTAAATATAGTGTGATCAATCTATTTTAGTACTTGCATAAGAATTTTCAGGACTTGACTTTATATCAGTAGTTTATCCAACTGGCCTGCCAAAATTCTTTTTTTTTAATTCAGGGCTCATTGTTCAGACTTAATGTTCTCAGAGTTGGTGTTAGTAGAGGATCGGTGCCTTACAGGACTGGGCCTGTGACAGTTGCAACACAATAGACAAGAGGCTTTCTATTACAAGCAATCTCAGTGAAAGAAAAATAAAATGCTAAGTGCCCTTTTACTGTTTCAGTAATATGGCATGAGTGACTGAGAAGCTGTTCTTATGTAACTCCAAGAAATCCATAGAAGAACAGATGAATAAATAGTTCTTATACCTACTTAAATCCAGTGAGCAGGAATGGAAAAATGCATTGATAGTAGATAGAGATCATCTGTAACTTGTATGTTCCATTTCCTGGATGCACTGAAGAGATGAGACATGGTTAATGTCTTTGTGTCATCACTTTTCAGTACGCTCATTTGTGTATATAACTATTCAGTTTATGGTTAACTATATGGTTGTTTGAAATCTGTTATTCCTGACTGTGAAGATCATTCTTCATTCAGTTTATTCCCACAGGAGTGCTTTTATTTACACTCAGACCAAGAGAGCCAGAGAATAACCCAAGTGAAGTACATCCTGTTCTTTATATTCTATTGACCCATCCGACAGTAGTATGAATTTGGACAGGATCCAGTGCAGAATCCTTTCATAGCTACTATATTCTCTAGGAAGCCTTCTGTCTAGGAGGACATTTAAAGCCTTCTCTCTTGGATAACCTGAAGACCTTTTCTGTGGATGGTTTTCAGAAGCTTTAGCATAGTTGGGAATCAAGAAGTTAACTAAGAATCAGGACTATTATGTACTCTGCAAGGAAAAGCAACCTACTATTTTTATTGTCCTCTACTGCATGCAGTTTCCTACCACTTTTTAAGTCGTAACATGCAGTGCTCTGTCTTCATGCATTCAGACATGAATCCACAGAACAGAAAATTTAATTATTGGCAGAAATGGTTGCAATGAAATCAGTGAGTCTACCTGAGGCAACTATACCTCAGTAACTACACCTTGCCAGGATGGTATCTTCTCAGATCTGACCTGTTTGAGTTACCACAGCCTGTCTGCAGGTTCCTTTGGCTAGTGAGACTAAACAGAATATGCTATGGATACTGCCTCTCATATCCTAACACATCATTCATATCCTCAGACCCACTTTAAGCATCCACCCTGTAAATGCCAGAACAGGAGAGTGGGTACCTGGTTCACAGTTTGTAATCATTCTCTTCATCCTTAGTTCTTTTCTGGTAACCATTCCTCATTATCCAGACTCCAGTTTTCAGACACCTGTTATATAAACCCCTTTGTAAGGGGCAAGGACTACAGGACTGTATTGGAGTAGTTATCTCACTTTTATATTCTAGCTGAAAAAAAGTACATGCAAATTATTAGTGTATATTGTAGCTTTTTTTTTTTTTTTTTTTAGTAAAGGATCTGCCATGTAAAAAATATTAACTCAAGATGCATAGTGTTGAGTCTCTCTCTGAATCCACTTACATCTGCTTCATATTAGTTTAATTTGACTTCAGTACAATTACTCCTGAATCATAGTCTTGGGAGAGTTACAATCTGGCTCTCAGTTTTTCCATGATGTCCCTGAAGAACCATCGTAAGATCAAAGGCTGATATCTGACAAAAATAGCAAGCCTGATTAATAAAAACAAACCACCAAATTCATTTTGTAGCAGTGCTATTCTCTTCCCTCATGTCATCATTTTGTAGCAGCGCTATTCTCTTCCCTCATGTCATTTTCTAAAGATTTCTTTCTAGATAAATACATGATGCTTTACCTTAGAAGGTTGAAAACTGTCCTCTATATTAAACAGGAAATGTGGGGGGTTGTCTTTCGGAGAAACCTGCGTTTCTCTGACATTCACACCAGCGGCAGAGGCCCGAAGGGAAGGGTGCGCGCCGGAGCGGGCCGGGCGCTGGCGGCTTCAGCACCACGGACAGCTCCGCGG